AAGAAGGTGTTAGGGTAGGATTCTTCAGAGGTTAGCCTGGTACTTGCTCATCAGACACTAGCTTGAAATAAGAGGAAAATTATGCTTTGCTTTGCTTTTTCTACAAACCTTTAAAAATCACTCATTTTAGAAAAGAATGTAAAAGTCCTTTTCGTTCCTTTTGGACCTATTCTTTTCTGTAATGGAAGAACTAAGTCTTAGGCGCCCAGGGACCAACAACTACATTAGAATCTCCTGGGGAAGGGTAGAGGGCCTTGAGAAAGATGCAGGTACTTAAAGACTCGCTAAATCAGGCTTTAGGGAGAGGGCCTGGGTGCCCAGAGTAACAACACTACCAAATGCCTGGGCAAAATACCCTTTCAGTTGGTGGAGGCCCAAACTGGCTCTGAGGTGGTTTTTACAGTGCCAGGGTGATGGTAATGGGCAGTTCATTGAAAGAAAATACAAGTAGTATGCACTTATAACTGGAAATTATGAAACCAGCACATCAGTAAGAAGGCTTTTTTTTTTTTTTTTTTTTTTTTGGAGACAGAGTTTCGTTCTTGTTGCCCAGGCTGGAGGGCAATGGCCTGATGTTGGCTCCCTACAGCCTCTGCCTCTTAGGTTCAAGCAATTCTCATGCCTCAGCCTCCCAAGTAGCTGGGATTACAGGCGTGAACCACCACACATGGCTAATTTTTTGTATTCTTAGTAGAGATGGTGTTTCGCCACGTTGGCCAGGTGTTCTCAAATTTCTAGCCTTGGGTGATCCACTGCATCTAGCCAAGTAAGAAGACTTTTGATGAAGTAGTAGAAAACCAAATTCAAATTGACTTAAGCAATAAAAAGTTTTTATTTGTGGCTAGGCGCAGTGGCTCACGCCTGTAATCCCAGCATTTTGGGAGGCTGAGGCGGGTGGATCACTTGAGGTTGGGAGTTCGAGACCAGCCTGACCAACATGGAGAAACCCTGTCTCTACTAAAAATACAAAGTTAACCAGGCATGGTGGCGCATGCTGTAATCCCAGCTACTTGGGAGACAGGCAGGAGAATTGCTTGAACCCAGGAGGTGGAGGTTGCAGAGAGCCGAGATCACACCATTGCACTCCAGCCTGGGCAACAAGAGCGAAACCTTATCTCAAAAAAAAAAGTTTGTATTAGTTATTGTGGCTTAAAAGTCTAGACATAGAGCACTGTGCAATCTCACAGTTCCACGATTTCTCTCATGGTGCAAGATGGCTGCCAACAGCTCCCAGGAAGAGAAGGTCTTTTCTCATAACCACTGAACCAAATTTTGGGCTCTGGGCCAGCTGGACCACCCCTGAACCAATTCCTGTGGCCCATCAGATACAAGACCAGTAACCATGATGCAGGGCAGGGAGGATGTGAGATTAACCAGATTGGCTTAGAGCAGTCAGGTCCTGTCCCTGGAGCAGAAGTGGTCTCATCCAAACCTCAAAGTCAGAGGGGTAAAGGGTATTGGAGAGAGAGCCACAATGTCAGCCACATGCAGATAGGGCTCTCAAGTCCAGTGAAATCAAAGTGTGTAATGGCATCTTTTCATGGTCTGTTTGAAATGAAGATGGCATGTGCTGTCATGGTGTAATTAATCATTGGTATTGGCCCAGCACTGGACAATACAAAACTTATCTTTGATAACCACCCCACCCTTGCATCCCTACAGAGAATATGTGCACAGAAGACACAAACCAAGGTAGTTACATTTGATCCTCAGAAACCTCGCTTACCTGAATAGGCCCAAACAGCTCAGAACCAAAGCCAGCCAAAATGCCCACACACTGTCTGCCTCCCCAAGCCCAAACCTGATTCCTTGGAGGCAGGGAGGAAAGGACAGATTCCGGAAATGAGAACCAGCAGGAAGCCTTTGCCCCAGTGCCCACCCCAGCCTTCTTAGGCCTGGACAGAAGCCCCCAGGGGCTCACAGACCTCTGGGAGAAGAGAACATTTGGAAGGACAGCCAAATGAAACAGAAGGGCCACACATCCTCAGTAGTCCAGGATGCAGTGTAGTAGATGTTTAATACCCTTCATGAGAACTCTGCCTCCTGGAGCAGGTGATCCAAGCAAAATTTCAGGACTTTGGGGGATAAGTGGCAGCTGTAGAAGGTAGAATCAGAGTGGGTGGTTTGCAGCGGGGGACCGGGGAAGTTGATAAGGAATTCTTTTCTCTGACCCACCCATGAAGGCAAAATAGAGGAAGGCAGGAGGCAGATCTTGGGCTCCCCTAAGAGGCTTCTATGCATTCATTCACCAAGCACAGCACCCCTATCGACACTGGTCACTGTGCCAGGTGCTGGAGGTGCCGCGCTGAGAGAAGAATGATGCCCCTGTCTCATGGAGTGTGAGCTTTTCGCTAGAGGAGGCAAACATGAAACACACTTAGATTCAGACCAAAGTTCCAGGGTGCTGTGTAGACCCATCTCTCCAAAGGACTTGAGCTCCCTGCTGCTGCCTTTAAACTGGGGGCCTGGGAGGAGCCAGCTGGGACTCAGAGCTATGCCAGGGGCCAGCCCAAGCTTCTAAGTCAGAGGATGGTAAGCCTGGGAAAGACCTTGGAGATCCCCAGATCCCATCTATTCATTTCGCAGATGAGGAATCCAAAGCCCAGAAAGAGGAAAAGGCATCATCCGTATGAAACTAGCTGGTGTTTATGGAGCATCTGGGAGCTCCTGATGCTTGGGTAGAAGTAAGACACCCTCTTCTCACCACAGTGGGGTGTTTCCCCACCAGCCCTTATGCCCCAGGGCACCTAGGGTCTCCCAGGACTGCAAGCAACCCTTCTGCAGCTCAGTTCTTCCACACCCTCACCCCACAGAAAGGGCTTGGAAGCTGTGGGCCCTTCATGTGGAACTGAAGTCTGAAGACCTGGAGAGCAGCCCCAAGGGTAGAGAAGCAGCGCTGAAGGGATCAGCATGCGCTAGCACAGGAAGCCCATTTTCCATGTGTCTGGAACCAGGCCGAAGCTTCCTGGAGTAATTTTAACCAGTATCCACTCTAGAACAATACCAAAAAAGGTAAGTTACTTACCACCCGAGGCAGGCACATACCTAACCGCTGGCCTTTCATGAATTAGACCCTTAAGACATTCAGGGCTAAAACTGCTTTAAGCACTAAAGTTAGAGCAGCCAAGCCACGTATTCCTGTCTCGGGCCGTTGGCCCTTTTACCGAAATTCACTCTAAAGTGCTAGCTATTCTTACCCTCAGAAAATAGTCTGAGCCCCTCAGCTGTCTTGCTGGAGGGAAGGTATTTTTAGACCCTAGAACAGCTGATTTGGGATCTGCTGCAGGGGTCAGAGGTCCCAGGGGGAGGATTGAATTGCTGGGGGATAAAGGAGGAAGTGGGGAGCCACATCCAAGAGACAAGAGTCAGCACGGGCTTTAGGATGTATCAGGTATCAGTCCACACTGCCGTTTTCGGCTTTTTTTCTGTTTTTTTTTTCTTTTACAGAGTCTCACTCTGTCACCCAGGGTAGAGTGCACTGGTACAGTCCTGACTCACTGCAGCCTCAGCCTCCCTAGGCTCAAGTGATCCTCCCACCTCAGCCTCCCTAACAGCTAGGACTGCAGGCGCATGCCACTATGCTGGGCTAATTTTTCTATTTTTTTGTAGAGATGAGGTTTTGCCATGTTTCCCAGGCTGATCTCAAATTCCTGAGGCTCAAACAATCCCCCTGCTTCAGCTTCCCAAAGTGCTGGTATTACAGGAGTAAGCCACCATGCCCAGCACGCTGCCATTTTTGATCAGCAAAGTATCTTAATATAAGCCAGTAGTTCTCCAAGTGCAGTGTCCAGACCAGCAGCAGCAGCATCACCATCACCTGGGAACAACTATTTGTATATTATAAACACAAGGAAAACCCTGCAAAAGAAATGCAAAGTATCAGCCTCCACCTGAATCAGAACCTCTAGATGCGGGTTCCAGCAAGCTGTTCTATCAATCCCTCCAGGAGATTCTGATGCTCACTAAAGTTTGAGAATCACTGACAGCAGCAAACCATCGAATAAGATCCCCTTTTGGACAAGGCTGGAAGAAAGAATGATCTATATTGACGCTTCTCAACTTACGAGTGTCTGTTCAAACCCAGGAATCCTCAGCTCAGAAAAAGTACATACTTGCATAAAAATTTCAGGGACGCACTATCCCAGGTTAAAAACACCTGCTCTGTGGCAACCTGGAGACCTTTCTTTGGGTCTAAGTCTGATCTGCAGAGAATCTCAGAGCTGAAAAAGACTTTCTAGATCATCTGCTCCAACCAGAGCAGGGGTCTGCTCCATAATATTTTTGAGAGGCTTGGTTTTAACATGGCACTTTCAGAAATTGGGAGCTCCCCACTTCAAAAGAGCTTGTTTCCAGTCACCCTTAAGTGGGTAGAGTTATTAGCTCTTGTTAACTCCTGTATTGGTTTATAGCAACCAAACCACATTAACATGGCTGAAACATAGACTTATAAACCCAAATTAAAGGAAACACAGTGGCCAGGTGTGGTGGCTCACACCTATAATCCCAACACTTTGGGAGGCCGAGGTGGGCAGAAGTCTGATCTGCAGAGGGGCCCAGGAGGTGAAGATCAGCCTGGGCAACATGGGGAAACCCTGCATCTACAAAAAATACAAAAATTAGCTTGGTGTAGTGGCACAAGCCTATAGTCCCAGCTACTTGGGAGGCTGAGGTGGGAGAATCACTCGAGCCTGGGGAGGTTGATGCTGCAGTGAGCTGTGACTGGGCCACTGTGACTGGCCGGCTGTGACTGGCCCAGCTATGACTGGGCCACCCTGGGCAACAGAGTGAGACCTTGTCTCAAAATAAAATAAATAAAGGAAACACATAATGGCCCTAAGTGGTAGAAATGAACACATTATTGTCTAATAGGCCATCTCAGTGTTGGAGAACTCAGAGTAATGGAAAATCCCCCTTTATATTAATCTGAAATCTACCTCCCAGGAACCTCCTATGCTGACCCTGTTTTTGACTTCGAAGCCACAAGAAGCAAACCCAAAGTCTTGCTTTCAAAAGTCAGCATTTACTTTTCATAGGCCTTTCTTGGCACAAGAGTGCAGGGAGGATGGCTTGGGCTGCTGGCCCAGCTTCTGGGCCAGGTGGTTCAGAAGATGCAGGTGCAGCCCACGGCGATGGTCTCCATGACCGCGCGCTGGCGGCAGGGCCCTGTGCGTGGTGGTGGCGGGCAGAGGCGGCGGCGCACTGGCACCTGGCTGAACACCGGTACGCTCACCATGCTGCGGTCCTCCTGCATGGTGAAGGGGTTCACACAGCCCAGACACAGGCACCGTGCCTCCGGCAGGTCCGCAGGGATACGGCTGGGGTCGTGGTTGATGCTGCAGGGAGCAGGAGAAAGATCAGAGTGGAAGGTGATCGGGAAACAGCCAGTCAGCACCCATACCCCACACCCCTGCCTTTCCTAATCCAAGTTTTAATTCCCACAGCAAGACTGTTGGGCTGGAGGAAAGGCAGTAATCAACTCCGTGTTCCACATTAGGACGCTGAAGATCATGGAAGGCAAGTCAAGAGCCCCAAGGTTACCCAGCTTCAAGGTCACCAGTCACCTGGCTTCCTTCTTTTGTGGATGTCCATCATAGTACTAGGTTGCACCATGGGGATGGTAGAGTAGCTTTGGCCCTCCCTCTGCCTGCCCCCACCCCCACTGTGTTTATATTGTTGGGAAACTTAATCCACGGAAATAAAAGGTGGATTAGTTTTACTGATGCCTAATTTCCACTGGCAAATAAGTCAGGAGGTCTGGGTTCTATTCTGACTTAATCTCCATTCATTCAACACTTGCATGCTCACCATGTGAGCACTTCTGTCCCAGACTTTGCTCATTGATGAACAAAGCAGACAAGTTCCCTCCTAGTGCTCTCATGGAGCCACCCATCCAGGGACTTGCTTTGTGACCTCTCCTCCTCTGCACCTCCGTTTCCCCATCTGCTAAATAGGGGACAAGGAAGTGGGTGAGCTGGACCTGTGGACATGCAGCTTTAGTATCACCTTATGCTTAGGAGCTCACTAGAAATGCAGAACCTCCCAAATCTGAAGCTGCATTTTTATCAGATCCCTGAGTGGTTCATGGGCACAGTCAAGTGTGAAAAGCTCCATTCCGGAGGATCTTTACCAACCCTTCCAATGGTCACATTCGGGAGCTGCATTGTCCAATGCAGTAGCCACTAGCTTCATGTGTCAACTTCAATTTAAATTAATCAGGCTGAGTATGGTGGCTCACCCCTATAATCCTAGCACTTTGGGAGACCCAGGCCAGTGGATTGCTTGAGCTTAGGAGTATGTGACCAGCCTGGGCAACATAGTGAGATCCTGTCTCTACAAAAAAAAAAAAAAAAAAAATTAGCCAGATATGGTGATGCATGCCTGTAGTCCCAGCTACATGGGAGGCTGAGGTGGAAAGATTGCTTGAGCCCAGGAGGCAGAGGCTGCAGTGAGCTGAAACCATGCCACTGTACTCCAGCCCGGGTGACAGAGTGAAACACTGTCTCAAGCAAAACATTGAAAAATTTAATCAAAGCTAATCCCTCAGTCACATAGCCACATGTCAAGAGCTCAGTAGCCACATGAGGCTGGTGGCTACCATACCAGACTTTTATCATCACAGAAAGTCCTGGTGAATAGTGCTATTCTAGAGTGGCAGGGTATATGTCGTGTGCCTGAAAAATCTCTGGCCTGGGTTTGTGAGTAAGGACCTCAGGGTCAGCCCATTCCTTCATCTTTGGTCCTTTCTGTGGGTCAGGTACTGAGCGAGAAAGCAGAGCTACAACCAAGGGAGGACGCTGCTGCCATCGTCATCCAGGGCAGCGGGTCTTGATTCCCAAATCACAGCCTGCTGTACATCCTGATCACGTGGAGCTATAGGAAACAGCACTTCCTGGGCCTCGCCGCTGGAGGTTTTGATGGGGCATGGGAATCCCTAAGTGATTCTGATGCAGGCACTGGGAAGGCCCAGGCCCAGCGTGAGAGACAGACGGCAACGCTGCACGGAACCACCATATCTGAGAAGGACATATGAGACCCACAGAGCGGAGGAGGTGACATCTGGGGAAAGCCTTGCAGGCACCTCCGTGGAGACTGATAGAACAATAAGGGCAGTTGTCCACATGGATATCTCATTTAACAAGTCTCTGAAGTAGGTACTACTATTGCCTCCGTTTACGTTGAGGAAACTGAGGCTCAGAAAGGCTAATCCATTTGTCCAAAGCCTCAAAGGCGAGTAAGAGGCAGAGCTAGGATCTGAACCCAAGCACCCAGACCTCTGAATCCAAGATCTTAACTATTACAATGACTGAGGTGCGGGAAAGGCCCCCACCCCCCAAAGACAGCTTGTCACCACTGCACAGCCTACCTGTAGCCCCAGGGAGACAGGCTCCTCTTGTTGGACATCCATAGCTGCAAGTTGACCTCACACTTCCTCTTGGCCAGCTCTGAGCTGTTCCTCAGCTGGGCCACCATCTCCTCGAGGTTCCTCTCGTACTCCTCCATGCGAGCGTACGGTTTCACCCGTGACACCAGGTCCAGTGGCACCTGGTGAGGGCCAGGGGCTAGGGGCCCAGACCGCCCTTGCCCCTTCCTCTTTCCTTTGGGACTCCTGGGCTGGCTCAGCCCCAGGAAGATGGAAATGATAAGAAGGAACAGCTGGGGAGGAAAGCCACGGTCAAAGGTGGGAGAGTCAAGTTTTTTTCTGGGCCAAGACTTGAGGTCCATGGTTCTTTCTCATTGTCCTTAGGGGTCTCCCAGGCTCAGGTCTGACACAGCCCACCATCCCCCAGCTCTCCTTCCTCAAATTACCCCCTGATTCCTCTCTCATGTGTGCTCCAGCCTCTGGTCTTCCCTCAGTCTTTCTCTCAGCATGCTCCTTCCTGCCACGGGGACTTTTCACAGGCCTCTGCCTGCAGCGTTCTGCTGCTCCACCTCCTGGACCCCTCCCCGTCCCTCATGCATCAGCTCTAGTGCCATGTCCCTAGGGATGCCTCTGGACTTTTTTGGGCTCTCTTCAGTCTTACAGTTTGTATGTACAATTCTTTTATGCGTCTGCCCCCAACTCAGCATGGACTCCGTGGGGGTGTGTGTCAGTTTCCATACAGCTGTCATATCCATGTCTGCATGGTACATTCAGTGGACACTCACTGAGTAAATGATTGACTGTCCCCATCACTGCCCTTCTGTCATTTATGTCTGAGAAGGAAAACAGTGAACAAGAAGACAAATACCCAAGTCTCACTAGCAACAAATCCAGGATGGCCCTGTTCAGGGTGTGGCTGGAGAAGAATGGGGCCTCATGCTTCCCTGTGCCACAACAATGGCCTAGGAAACTTTTCTGGGGAAAGGACATGTCAGATGAGGCGTGGCAGGCATGGGCTAAAGGAATTGAAGTCTTATAGGTGTAGGAGGGGCGGGTGGGGGGAAGATGAGAGAGGAGGTTGGAACTGGTTAAGAACTTTGCTGAATGGAATGTTGATTAAGAGTGGGCGGGAGGAAGAGGGCATGACATGAAGTTGGGGAGATGGGCAAGCTGTGGGCTAAAGGTGGGAGAGCCAAGTCTCTTTTTGTGAGTCAAGTTGTGGACGCCCCGTCCACCTGCACTACCCTCCACGCTGAGCCTTCCCTCTTCCAGCCACCCGCCAAGCCCTCCTCACACACACACACACACACACACACACACACACACACACACACACACATACCCATTGCCATCCACGTCTCCCTCCCAGCACCAAGAGCATCAGGAAAGGCTCTGGCTCACAAAGGAAGAGGACTCGGGCCCGACTGAACCCAGACTCCTCAGGAATCCAGGGCGAGAAGGGCCAGTGTCTAGGTGTGGAGCAGAGGTCCCAGGATGGAGGCACCGCTGACCCCTCTTGCACTGAGATGGGCTCCATGCGTTCCCTGTATGCCTCACCCCACAGCCCCAAAGCCCCATGGCCCATGCCTGCTTTATCCAGGCTACCCTCCAAGTCTTGACCCTAGAAAACAAGCTTCAGCAGAGTCCCTCTTGGCAGAGGTATCTGCTGGCACAAAATCTGCAAGAGAGATTCAAGTCGCTAAATTCTTCCTTTTTGGTCGTAGATTCTAGTGCAGAAAAAAATGTCTCCCTAACAATAGGCTCTCTCATTGGAATTTCTCACAGGGCATTCTTAAACTCTGGCTCTCCACTCGGAGAAATCTAGAATAGAATCAAAGCCCCCTCCCTCAAAGTCCCATCTCCAGATGGGACACAAAAACAGAAGGACTTGACCAAGGTCATGCAGCCGGGACCTCGAGGCCAGGTCTCTTTGGAAAAACCCCGCTGACTGAGTTTGTCGGGACCTCCCCAGACACCTCTGTTCTGAAAAGGCTTCAGTGTGCCCCAGCTGAGCCCAGTTCAGGAGCCTGTGCTGCTGCCCACAGCTGCAGGCTCTGAGACCAGTCTCTGTTTCTTTCTAGTCTTGGGGGAGAAGACAGAGACGTGGCCTCTGCAGATTCCAAACCAAGCAGAGGCAGCCATTAATCAATAGGAAAGAAAAACTGACATATTTGGACTCTAAAAAGGGGTGGGGGTGCAGCGGGGAAGCGCCACGTACCAAGTTGTGAGGCCAGTCCATTCCGCCAAGCTACAAGGTCAGCCTGCAGCTGCTGCCTGCCTGGAACCCCAGATGCCGCTGAGAGAATGGCAGCAACAGGATGGAGCGAAGCAATTATAGCTCAACTGGGGGCCGCTGGGGGAGTGAGTGGGTGGGCTCGTCATCAGCTGGGAGCCTTGGGCCCCCAGCTGGCTAAGCCCAGCACAGTGGCAGGCGGTGAGGAGCGTGGGGGCAGGCCAGGAGCTGAGCTGAGGTGCCCAGGGGCTGTTGACCGAGGGACAATGCCCTGTGTGTCTGATGGGGCCCTGGCCGGTGGCACCTCCGCCTGTGGCCTGCGGCCTGCCGCCCAGCCAGCACCCACAGGGCCAGCTAAGACAATCAGCTTCGTTTGCCTTGGGGATGGCAAGGGGGTGAGGGTGGAGGAGGGATGGGCTGTCAGTTGGTCAGGAGAGCAAATGTTCTCAGACAGTGCTGGCCAGGAGCAGGCACCCCATCTCCCAGAGAAACAGCCTCAGGCACCTCAGCCTCTGCCAGCCTCAGGTGAGTTCCGAAGCCCTAGGAGACCAAAGCCCCACCCCCCTAGATCACAGTCAGGTAAACTGAGGCTGGAGCGAGGAAGGGACTTGTGACTATTAACAGTGAGTTAGAGATGTCAGAGCTGCTGTTTCCAGCTGGTCCCCCTCCAGGGCTCTATCCACCACCCCATGTTGTTTTTCTTGGGATGTTTTCCGCACAACTTCAGCCTGCTGTGAACATATTTCTGACGCAGTATGCTCTCACTGAGGCCAAGTTGCAGATCCATGAGGACTTACGGCCGATTGTTCTGGCCTTCGTGACGCAGCACTCTCCCTGCTGGGGTGGTCTCCACTCTCAGAGCTTATGTGGCTCCATGTGAGCTTCATTCTCTCCCAGCCTCAGTTCCCTCCTCCACAAAATAGGCGGCTGTACTCAGAAATAGACAGTGGCCTGGCCCATTCCCTCCTGAAATCTTTCTGAGCCTCAATTCCCTCATGTCTAGTGTGGGAAGAATCGTGGCATCCTCTTGAGGCTGCTGTAAAGAAGAAAGGAAATAACCCACGTTAAATAGCTGGCAACAGTACCTGGCACATAGTAAGTGCTCAATAAACACTTAGTTGTTTATTACAGAAATCACTATAAAATAATTGTATAATGATTATTATAAACATTAGTTACTCTAATTAGCATTAGAGCTAGCACAGTTCTCATTACTCTACTGACTCTCCCTTCCACCCCCTCAGGCCCACCCTCACGGCTGCTGACAGAGGTCTAGGCCTCCAAGACTTAGGCCACAAGTTTGTGAGGTCAGATGACCCCAGGGCCCAAAGGTCCTGGAATCACATGCTCATCTGACCAGCTCCTCTGGCCAATGTCTCTCACCTCAAGCGAACAGCCCAGCCCAATGTGAGCGGGCAAATCCACCCAGGGAGGCAGGAATGGCGGGAGGGAGCATGAGGAGGACAGAGGAGGTGCATTGTGAACAGACACTGAGGACGGCCTTGTCAGGCTGAGGCCCAGTCTTGGCCATTTACAGGAATCATCTGAGGGGAAGAACGCAGGTTGAGAGGCTCTCCTGAATGTCACAAGATTAATCTGTCCGGGGCAGGCTTCCACAGCATAACTGAGACGCTGGCTGGGTCTCGAGCATGAGAGATGCCACCATATTTGGTCAAATACTAGACAGGGCTCTATTCTCTCGTTGGAAACTCTAGAGGGAGGGGGACTCTGAAAATACCTCTTCAGGCAACAAGGGCCCCGCCCCCACCACAGGCTGTCCGGGCCCCAGCCCCGCTAGCCTGGGCGGCCTGTCTGGTTTCTCTGCTGGCTCTCTGCACTCGCTTTGCTGCTGCTAGCAGTGGGGTCCCACAGACATGCCGCTGGGGCGAACCTCCCCTATGCACAGAACAGTGAGAAACTAAAAGATGGATACTGGTATCCGGGGGACCTCTGAGGCCACCACATCCTTCTTACCTGCTGGCAATACGCACCCCTCACTTCTGCCTCCCCAGGCCAGGACTGACTGGTCAGTGTCCCCAGCTCTGGCTGCAGTGCTGCTACTTTAGATTTCAGGGTCAAAGCCCCAGAGATGCTGAAGTAGCGGCACAGAACTCTGCATCTTAACATGAGCTCATTCTGGGAGCTACATAGGTCCTCACCCATCATCGGGCCTCCTCCTCCCACCCGTTTTACTACTTGGTTAAGGGAGGGTCCTACCCCGGTTCACATAATGCGTTTGTGCCAAAGCTGGGAGCAGAACTTCATCTCCTAAGCCATTCATTGCTCTTCCCTCAGACTTTACACAAACAGCTCTGGGCCAGGCTGGGCCTCCTTGCTAGCCTGGCAGGGGCCAAAGAACCAGGCCAGTGCTTTGGGGGGCCCCAGATCCCTCACAGTGGGGATGGGAGCTTTGGGGTCCCCAGGCAGGTGCTATGAGGAGTCGGGCATGGACCCAGCAACAGTCATTGGGTTTCCCATTCCTGGGCCATCTGAGACCAGGAGGGAGACACCTTCCTCCAGCTTTGGTTTTTAGAAACCCCTGGAGGGTCATCTGCCCTTCTTGATGTCCTGAGTGTGCACCCAGGCAGGCTTGTGGGACCCAGCCCCAGGACTCAGTGCCAGGCCTGAAAGGGAGGCGCAGGAACTGGGCTTTCGGGACTCCCACTCCACAAGCGAGGCTGGGGTCCTTGGGTCTTTTTATGCAGAAGGTGGTCAGCGCATGTGAATGAAGGACTGCGCTGATGAGCTAGAGGGGGAGGGGTAGTGGGTGGCCGAGGTCTCGCTCAGAGCCCTCTACGGCTGGCCCCGCCAGAGGCAGTGCTGCACTCACCACCAGGTGGCGCCACGAGAAAGCCAGCCAATCCTGAAAAATATGCAGACTCTGAGGTCTCTGCCACCTCCTTCCCCAGGAGCGGCCAGGAGCTGAGAATGAGGGGATGGGGCGACTGGGTGGGGCCCTGCGCCTGTATCTGGCTTCCATAGTGACCCTACTGTTGATGGGGACCAGAGCCTAGGATACATCAGAGCAGGAATGCCACAGCCGATCAGGTGTCTGGTGGGGGCTTCTGTCTGCTGAGTGAGTGATTGCCTTTACTTTGAGCACCTGCTGTGTGCCAGATCCCAGGCATTTGGCACCTGGACACCTTAATTCACTGAATTCACCTTAAGTCAGTAACAATAATAGTTGCTGCTTAATATCCACTTACTGACTGCCAGGCCCTAAGCTAAATCCTTCATGAAATCCTCCCACTAACACTGGGTGAGATCCTAGTTTTATTCTGAATTACAGTTGGGGAAACTGAGGCTCAGAGTGGTTGGTCAGTTGCCCAAAGTCACAGAAGATTCACAGCAAGTTTGTCTGACTCCTGCACATGCTGCCCCCTGCAGTAGGGCAAGGAGAGGAGCACAGCAGCCAGGGGTGAAGAGGGAATGTCCAGTTGGTCAGCTGGTCTTTCAGCACAGTCTGTGATGGCCTCAGCCTTGCCCCACAGCCTCAAGCAAACTAGACCCGGCAGGTTCGGGTGCTCACTAAACCCACGCCCAAACCCAAATCATCAAGGGGATCCGAGAGCTCCCAGGGTGCTTGTGTGGTACCCAGCGGCATTCCTGGCATGAGCTAAAATATTAATACATTGAATCAAACTGAGTGTAATACAGGGAGGCCATGCTGGGACAGAGTAGGATGCCAGGGCACTGGGACCTGGAGAAGGAAATGCAGCTCGGAGGCAGAGGTCAGGCTCCACAGATGATGGGCTGACCTGAGTTTCAATCCTGGCCCTGCCCCTTCACAGCTGTGTCATCTTGGGAACATTAATTGAATTCTCTGAGCTTTTGTTTCTTCTGCAAAGAGAAGATAATAATAACTTGGCTCTCAGTGGATTATTGTGAGGATCAAATGAGATAATGCATGTTAAAGCACTTAGCACAGTGCCTGGCAGAAGTAGGCACCCCATTAATGCTAGCTGCAACTGTCATTCCTTCAGTTAAAATGAGTTTTGGGTTGGGCCTCCGGGGATGCCTCTGGCGTGTTCCTAGGTGAAGGGCATTACGAAGTGGGGACAAGGCTAGAAGCTGCAGAAGAATGCAAAGGTGCCTATTTCCAGTGGGCCCACCCTAGAGTGTTGGCGAGGCCAGGCGGACCTGAAGGATTTGGTCTAAGAACTTGCCCAGGTGGACCCAGTGAAGTCAGGGAAGGCAGGAAGAGGCTAGCCGGTGCCTTTGCTGGCTGCTGCCAGGAGGGTGCAGCCCCCTCGGGAGGTCCTGGCTGTCCTGCCACACTGCCCTCCCTCCCTCCCTGGTAGGAGTCCTTCTCCCAGGCCCATATTTGCACAAATGCCTGCCTCACTGCTCACTCCAGAGCCCCAGCCAAGAGGGGCTATTTTAAGCTCCCTGGACGGGAACATTGGTGGGAACAGCCCCAGCCAGCAAGCTCCCAGTTCTCAAAAAAAGGGAAAGGCCTGGGTGAATGGGTGGCCCCTGGGATGTGCAGAGGGGCTGCCACATCGACATGACCCTCTGCCCAGGTGTCAATGTCTCCTCCCCACAGGGGAAAGTCAAGGAAATGTGAGTTAGGGTAGGACCCCAAGAGGTGGCCTTGTTCACTGGTGACTGGGTCGGCTAGGCCTCTCTTCTGCCCAGCATCCAGCCTTGAAAACACCAAGTTTTAAGCCAGGTGCAATGGCTCATGCCTGTAATCCCAGCACTTTGGGAGGCTGAGGCAGGCGGATCACAAGGTCAGGAGTTCAAGACCTGCCTGACCAACATGGTGGAACCCTGCCTCTAATAAAAAAACAACAAAGGAAGGAAGGAAGGAGGGAGGGAGAGAGGGAGAGAGGGAGAAAGGGTGGGGGAGAGAGGGAGGGAGGGGGAGAGAGGGAGGGAGGGAGGGAAGGAGGGAGGGAGGGAGGAAGGAAGGAAACCAAACACCAAGTTTGCAGATTGACTCCACGCTGTACCTAGTCTTTTGTTAGCACTCACCATCCATAGACCGTCAGAGGTAGGGGATCTCTTATCCAGCCCCTACCAAATTGGGAACCCTTTCTAAGTGCCTTTACTGGGTACTATCAATCTGGGAATA